ATAAATAATGGTGAACTATGAACAATCACCACCAGTATTTGTTATCTCGTACTCTGGTACTACAAGTTCTAGATATTAAATATAAATAATGGTGAACCATGAACAATCACCATCAGTATTTGTTATCTCGTACTCTGGTACTACAAGTTCTAGATATTAAATATAAATAATGGTGAACCATGAACAATCACCATCAGTATTTGTTATCTCGTACTCTGGTACTACAAGTTCTAGATATTAAATATAAATAATGGTGAACTATGAACAATCACCACCAGTATTTGTTATCTCGTACTCTGGTACTACAAGTTCTAGATATTAAATATAAATAATGGTGAACTATGAACAATCACCACCAGTATTTGTTATTTCGTACTCTGGTACTACACGTTCTAGATATTAAATATAAATAATGGTGAACTATGAACAATCACCGCCAGTATTTGTTATCTCGTACTCTGGTACTACAAGTTCTAGATATTAAATATAAATAATGGTGAACCATGAACAATCACCACCAGTATTTGTTACCTCGTACTCTGGTACTACAAGTTCTAGATATTAAATATAAATAATGGTGAACCATGAACAATCATCACCAGTATTTGTTATCTCGTACTCTGGTACTACAAGTTCTAGATATTAAATATAAATAATGGTGAACCATGAACAATCACCACCAGTATTTGTTATCTCGTACTCTGGTACTACAAGTTCTAGATATTAGATATAAATAATGGTGAACCATGAACAATCACCACCAGTATTTGTTATCTCGTACTCTGGTACTACAAGTTCTAGATATTAAATATAAATAATGGTGAACCATGAACAATCACCACCAGTATTTGTTATCTCGAACTCTGGTTATACAAGTTCTAGATATTAAATATAAATAATGGTGAACCATGAACAATCACCACCAGTATTTGTTACCTCGTACTCTGGTACTACAAGTTCTAGATATTAAATATAAATAATGGTGAACCATGAACAATCACCATCAGTATTTGTTATCTCGTACTCTGGTACTACAAGTTCTAGATATTAGATATAAATAATGATGAACCATGAACAATCACCACCAGTATTTGTTATCTCGTACTCTGGTACTACTAATTCTAGATATTAAATATAAATAATGGTGAACCATGAACAATCACCACCAGTATTTGTTATCTCGTACTC